CCGTTGCAGCAGCAACAGCCACAGTCGTAGCAGGCGTTGCACCATCATTTGAAGCAGCAACAGCAGCAGTTGTAGAAGCAGCAAACGCTGCGCCATCATTCGCAGCAGCAGCAAAACTCGTAGTTGTAGCAGCAGCAGACGCTGCACCGACATTTGTAGCAGCAGCAGCTGCTGCAGCAGGAGCAGCAGCCACTGCAGCAGCCCGCAGTGTAGTTTGTGCAATCTCAGATTCCTCCTGGCAGCACAGAGGCCACTACAGAGCTGCTGGGCATTGCTATTTGCTGCAGCAGATACTCCAGCAGCAGCAAATGCCATTTGCTGCAGCAAGAGTCATTTGCTGCTGCAGGGACCAGTTGCTGCAGCAAGGGTCATTTGCTGCAGCAAATGCCATTTGCTGCAGCTGGAGGATCTAAAAGGCCCTTCCTCCAAAGCAACTAATCATATAATAGTTGATTAATTGCAAAAAAACAATTTTATTAATTTGGTTTTTTTATTTGCTGCCTTGCTGCTGCTACAGCAGCGTGCGGAAGTGTGGGGTCGCTGGGGTGTACGTACACCGCGCAGAAGCACAAAACTTAGAAGATGAGTTAAAATAAATGAAAGAGAAAAAGAAATAATAATAAATAAACTTAGTTGCTTTGCAGGTCACCAAGCCAAGCGGACTGCATCCCTTCAAACCCTAAACCCTAAACCCTAAGCCCTAAACCCTTTGCCGCGTGCAGCCGAAAGGCCTTCAAACTGCGGGTGACTTCGCCTACGGTCCCGCTGCTGCTGCGGCTCTTTGCCGCCATCCGCAGCACCAAAATCAGCAGCAGCAGCAGCAGCAGCAGCAGCAGGCCCAGACTATTGCTTCTGAGGCTCCACAGCCTCAGTAGGCTCTTCTGTAGCCTCTCCAGCTGCTGCCGCGAGCTGGAGATACACTCGGGCTGCAGCAGCCGCCTCTGCGGTGTCTGCTGCTGCTGCTGCAGCTGCCGCGGTCTCTCTCGCGGGCTGCAGCAGCGGGCTGGGGGCCCCTCTCTGCTGCCCAGTAGGGGCCCCCTCTTTCTCTATTTCTATTTCCATTTCTCTTTCTTTCTCTAAAGGACTCTTGCGAGCTGCTGCAGCGGGGAGAAGGGGAGAAGGAGCTGCGCCCGTAGCGCCCGGGGCCCCTTTCTCTATCTTTGGGGGCTGGGGGGCCCCTCGGGGAGGGGGCCCCCCTGGGGGCCCCCCGGGAGGGGCCCCTGGGGGGCCCCCCATCCGAGGCCCTGCTGGGCGAGAGGCTCGGCGAGGGGGGGGCCCTCCTTGCTGCAGCCCCTCTTGCTGCTGCGGGGGGCCCCCCCACGCTCCTTCTGCTTCTCTCGGGGGCCCCCAATGGCGACAAAGACCCCAAATCCCTTTCCCTATCCCGACCTCCTTCTCTGTCTTTTCCTATTCTTCCGGAGGCCCCCTGGGGGCCCCTCTGGCTCCCCCTGGGGGACACTGAGGGGCCCCTGCTGGGGCCCCTGCTGGGGCCCCTTCTAGGGCTGAGGGGGGAGGGGCCCCCACGGGGGCCCCTGCTGGGGCCCCTGCTGCTGGGGCTTCTAGAGGGGCCCCTCCCCCGGGGCCTCCTCTGAGAGGCAGGGGGG